TCCTTGCAAAGAATGTGTGTTCGTCCCCATTCAGCTGATAAGTAGAATTGGAGCATTCAGGAGACTGATGAGCTCAGTCATGGTGTAATCATGATATCAGGCCAACACTACCCAAACCAAAGCCCTTTACTCAGTCATACCTTATGCTGTTAGTTCTAGACCTTGAAATACAGCCATAAGCCTTCTGTTTTGATAGATAACTTTTTGCCTCTGTTTTAACAGTGCTTTCTTAGCCAGAAGTTTGTCATCACAGATCTCAGACATTTGATATTTAAACTAAGCATGGATCTTTGATACTTGCCACAAGCTTCTATTAAAAAAAAAAAAAAAGGAAGTACTTTATCTTTACTCTAGCAGGACTTCGTGCTGACAGTGACCTGGCATCTTATAAAAACAAACAATTCTGAATGCCTAGTGTGGTGGTACATGAAGGATGCTGAGTTCTGTGCCAATGAGAGAGGCTTAGGGAGATGAGGTCTGAAAAAAGTAAAAGGAAAGAAAGAGCAAGGACGGGAAAAGAAAAGAAACAGGGAGTGAACACTGTGCACTGGCTTCTGCCCTGTCCTCCTGCAGTGCATTTAATAGATGGGTAGCAGCTAATGGAATTGAAGATGCATTATGTAAAAGTTGGAAGTCAGTGTTCACCTCCAGGCACTTGGTTCAGACTTGTTGAACAAACATGTTGTGCTGGTTAGTTTCTCATCAACTTAACACAAGGTGGAATCATGGAAAGGAACTTCAGCAAGTCTGTGGGATATTATTTTTAATTAATAATTAATGTGAGGGGGCTAAGCCCACTGTGGGCAATACCAACCCTAGGCAGTTGATCATGGGTGGTAAACGGAGCAAGCAATGGAGAGCAAACCAATAAACAGAACTCCTCCATAGCCTCTGCTTCAGTTCCTACCAGGCTTGACTTCCTGCTCAGATTTCCCTCTGAAGTAGACTATAAACTTAAAACTGAAGTAAGCCCTTTTATTCCCAAATTACTGGTAGTTGGCATTTTATCGTAGCACTAGAAACCAACTAGAACACATGAACATATATGCACATAGACACACAAGTACAGAAACAAGCCAATCATCACATGATCCTAATTATCATTCTTTAATGTATAATGATGACATTCTGGGACCAGTAGAAAGAAATACTTTAGATATGTGACTAAAATAAATTTTGAAGTGAGTTTAAACCTCCTTTCCATCTAAATAACTTCCTGCTGCATCTCATTTCATTAGAATGCCCAAGTAATCTTTTTTCCCCTTCTTCTTCTTCTGAAACCACGGTTGACTGATTCCCCACAGTTGAATCATGTTACAAGTGATAACAACACTTTCATTGCTCCGTGACAGTTGGCTTCCTCTGATTTGTTTTTGATGCCACAATTAAAGTAGACAAGGTTCTGTTGTCCCTTTGTTTATTTTAATAGAGTGCTGCTGGAGTCAGGTAACCCAAGAGACAGACATTTGTCGGGTATTCACATATATCACCCTCCATCGTTAACAAAAAGGAGTAAGGAGAATGGTCATGCTTTCAGCCTTGATATTAAAAAAGGCAACACATAATCTCAATCTGAAGACGTTTTACCTCTCTTTTAGCAGCTGTTACTTTATTCATGCCTTTGGTTCAATTCAATCGTAATTTAATGGAGGATTTGCAGAGCAGTTGGAAAAGGCAGCTATTTCTGTGTGATTGATGCAGTGTTCCATATAAATCTTATAACCCTGCATTATAAATCATGTGGGAATTTAGTATGAAAAACAGATGACTCTACAGTTGCTTTTTGAAACACAGGAGAAGGAAGTTAGGTATCTACAGATAACACCGATGCCAGTACATCATGAACATGAAGGTGTGTGTGTGTGTGTGTGTGTGTGTGTGTGTGTGTGTTCATTAACAATCCTAAGTCAGACAACTTAAAAATACACACAGCTTATCAGCATCAACTCAAAGGTCTCTAAATTGGGTTATCACTTCTGGTACTGCAAAGACTGATAATTTTTTTATTGTTCTGGGTATGAAAATGGTCATACAATATTATTGCATATTTAGGCCTTCATATGTTATGTTGAACATGAAAATTTATAAAGAATTATACATAATAACAAATTTAAGACTGCCTTTGGGTTCTGTGTGAAATCAGGAGCTTAGTAGTCATGTGAACCCTCAAGAATTCATACATGTACACTGAGTTATGGACTTGCAGCTTTGCAATCTCCATGATATCTAAAGGAAGCTTTGTCTGTCTGTTGACTAGAAAGTTGGAAGCAAAGCTCCTTTCAAAAACACTCTGAACATGACAGCTTATTGCAGAATTCATACCCACCTTTTCTTATAGGACAGGCATTCCAAAACTGGATGTATACAGAGGCCAGGAAAGAAGATATACCAAGAAGGGATGTATACCAGGAGGGGATGTATACCAGGAGGGGGTGTATACCAGGAGGAGGAATGTATACCAGGAGGGGATGTATACCAGGAGGGGGTGTATACCAGGAGGGGGTGAATACCAGGAGGGGATATACACCAGGAGGGGGTTATACCAGGAGGGGATGTATACCAGGAGGGGATGTATACCAGGAGGGGGTGTATACCAGGAGGGGGTGAATACCAGGAAAGGGACTTGAGTATTCCACTTGGGACAGATTGGTGAAGCAAAGGATGTCGGGTGGTGACAAATTGATTTGCGATAGCTTGGGAATTTAATGCCAACTTCTTTACATCTTCAACTTTAAGAGAGAGGGAGGGAAGGAGGGGGAGGGAGTTAGGGAGGAGAGGGAGGAGAGGGAGAGAGGGAGAGAGAGAGAGAGAGAGAGAGAGAGAGAGAGAGAGAGAGAGAGAGAGAGAGAGAGAGAGGTTTTTGATTTTGACAAAATTCCCTGACAGAACACTGGCTGGGCAGGCAAAGTCACTTCCTGATCCTTATGTGGGACACTGTTACCCAGAGGTCTCACAGTTTCACCTTCCATCCAAGTTAGTGTGAGACTGCGCTGGAGCCTTGGCTGTCTTCTGTTTTACATGCATGGGACATTTCAAGTAAGAAACTTACAGTCTTTTTTTTTTTAAGCTATCAAAACTAAGTTTAATCTTTTATGTCATTATCAAAAGGTTTTCTTCTTTTAAAATAAAGTTGCTAAGTCCAAGATTTCTTTGAGCGAAGTAAAACAAAGGAAACGATACACATGATCTAAGACAGTGAGCTTACAGAATGATGAAGCATACTTAGGCACACGGAGTAATCAGGCAGTTCAGAGAATCTGAAAAAGGATGCAGACCCTTGTGGAACACTAAGCTCTTTACTTTGCTTACTACGACTGATGTCACAGGAGAAACTGGACAGTAATGAAAGCCATTGAGCAAACCTATAGAGAGAAATCTCTCTGGCTCCTTCTTCCCTAGGTTCAGGAGACCTTGAGCTCTTCCCCTCTTCGCTGAGGGGAGTGGCTTCTGAAACGAGGGGGCTCTCTAGCTAGGCGGTTCCTGCACAGGGCTTTCCTGTGACTGGGTCGATAACTCGGCCGACTTTGAAGATGATCTCAGCCAGTTCGTGTTTCACATGCTTTGATCGTGGGACCGGCAAAGCTCTGAGGAGCACGATGTCCCCGACACTGCACTGCTGAAGGGCATCGTGAGCAAAGTAGGTTTTCCGCTTATTAAAGTACTTCAGTAAGTAGGGATCCAACACAAGTCTGGTCGCTCTTACTTTAGCAGTTTTTACCATTGCTGTACCAATCACCTTCCCCACAACCCATTTGGCATGGACGGATGAATGGACTATTGACATTATGTGTCTGTGAGCACCTCTGGAGACTACCTCTCGGACCAAGGCCGACGGAGCATGGACCAAAACTTACAGTCTTAACAGACTGTTCAAAACAGAATCAGAAGCCCCTCTGATAGGCTGCCTTCTTCAAGTGTGAGAAGTAAATCGACTGTCCACTTTTCAAGCAGTGCTGTACACACTGTTCAGCCAGAACTAGCAGTTGGAATCTTGTTTGGTTTGGCATATTGGCTTTTATCATTGATTGGCTCAAAATTGATTTTTTTCCCTTCCCATTTATGTCTCAGTATGAGATTTCTTGTCTTGACTCAACCTCTGTGGTCAACTTTTATCTGATCATTGTCTGTCTGATAGCCTCACGGTGTTTTTATAACATTTTAAACAGAAACATAAGTGCTGTTTGTGAAAGGCAAGCTGTTCCACTGCGAAGGGTCTCTTGTGACTTCTCAAGTTGTTTTCACATTCAGTTGATACCGAGCTTCTAGAACAGAAGTCTGGGAATTAACAATGAATGAGACCGCTGAATACAGGTTTCCTTCCTGGGTAAGCCTGTCTTCTGGGGCTGAGCAAAACAATGAATGAGAATGGAAAATTGATGGGTACAGCCAAGCAAGGGATAATTTTATTAATTTCAGACTCAACTTGCCTCAAAAACAATATAATAATCTATAAAAATGGAATAAAGAATGGTTACCATTTCTTTTCACTCTTTAAGAGCAAAATGTGTTATACTAATCAGGAGCCTGTAACTTGGCCTTTCAAGCAGTTCAGAAAAAAAAAAAGAAAGAAAGAAAAGAAAAGACGCAGTGTGAAACCTGCTTAGAGTTGGAAACTGGAAAGAGATTCTTTCTCCCTGTTGCTCATGAGGTATTTTTTTCCATGTGTTGAATTTCATTTGGGTTGTTCAGGAGAGAACATGGGAATTTTGTTTTGCTTCTGGAACCTGCACTGGAGGAGGAGGGGGTCAAGAGGCAATCCAACCAGTTTGGATAGGAAGAAGGCAAGTGTAAATGACTCTGCAGTGTGGTGGTTCTCTGGCTGTGTCTGGGAGCACACAGTGCTACCATGTTCTCAGCACACATACAATAACTTACCTAGCTCGAGTTAAGCTATGCTCTCTGCGCACTTGCAGTGACTTGCCTAGAGCGAGTTATTACGTGGTAGAAGGGAAAGGGGAAAGATTCAAGGGAATGACGAGAGATCTCTGTTTCTCTCTCCCCTCACCAGTTCCTCCCTTTCACCAACAAGACTCAGAACTTCTAGGTCAGAGACCATTGAGAACCCTTGACACCTCAAAGTAAACAAATGCTTTGCTTTTCCATGCAGCTATGAAAGTCACTTAGAAAGGTCAATCGGACCTCAGTTTGATCAAACATTGTCCATATTGACAGTTACTCCGTCCCCCTCAGCTAAACAATTTTCATTGACCCACCTTTGTTAAAAAAAATATATGTGTGTGTATATATACATATACATATATATATATATATATATATATATGTATATATATATATATGAACATTTCTTTTGAATTAGTTAAAGGAAGCACATGGCTTTACAGAGATTTCCACAGGAGATTTAAAGAGAAATTTACTACCTCCTCACCTGTGTCTAGACAAATTTATTAGGCACTTGCTGATGGCAAGTAGTACCTGTTTATGAAGCTGATTTCTAGACTGCTTACACGGGAACTTTCATAAATTACCTCAAGTGCTTTAGAATTTAAGCTTAAACAGGGATTAGACATTCATAAATTGAATCAAGTGGTCATGGACTAACAGGGAAGAAAAATGTCTTTTAATGCGCCTCTGGCATTTTCCACTTCCTTGTCTTCAGCCTGAGAAACATACTCCACTCTCAAGAAGGATATATTTAAAGTCAAACCCTCCAGTGCCAGAAACTTCTCCTTTACATCTTGGCTAACTAAGGAGGTTAATCAGCACCTTGTCTCTCTTACAAACGACAGGGTACATTTCTAAAGTGTTGAGAGAGAAGTATACATAGCTTACCAGTTGAGGAGTGTCAATTCCCTGGCCTCAGCAACACTTCAAATGTAAGTTGTTTTCAGCTGTCAGAGTCAAGCACGGTGGTCAGTTGGGTGAAGTACCTACTCACTGGTAAATAAAACTCAGAACTGTGTCCTTTGAAGTATAAAACATCTATGTTACTCATGACAATATCATTCTTAATTTTACAATTTAATGATACTTTTACCAAATGCAAAAAAAGAAGAAAGAAAATCGCTCGCAGTTTGGGTAAGTCTGTCAGCTATTTTACTGCATTAAAAAGAAAAAATCTCATTTAAAGAGTCAGGTTTAATCCTCTGGAAATTAACTCGAGCCTAGGTTCCAAATGCACTCAGCCTATGTTCACACTAAACTAGTAGTGAGAACCCACTCCCTTGACTCTTACTTGAAAATCAGTGAGATTGTCCATGCTTCTGATCACTTCTTAAAACTGTGGCCCCATCTGGTGTCTCTTCCAAGTAGCAGTAAAAGCTTTCAACGGTCAGATTCAGGTGGAAATGATCTTCACTTTCCACATTTTCCAGCCTGTGAGATCTAGCTCCGGGAGAATATTCTTAGGGGTGTAGTGGGTACTTCCAGAAATTAATTTTAAAAACAAAACAGCCTGATTTTACCTTCTTCCAGAATGTCTCACCTTTTATAAATCTTCTTCCTTATGTCATAGAATCAGAAGGAACGGAATGAAAAACAACTTACATGCAGCTTCTGTAGAAAAGTTAAGTAAATGGGCTTTTTGTCTTCAAGCCTTTCCTCTCCAGGAGAGTAGAACTCACACTCTTGGGGACAGAGTTGCTGGGATGCTGTGGCTTTAGCTGCTTTTCAGCTGGGCATTCTCATGATGACCAGGCTGTCAACTATCAGTCATCAGTAATAATGGTCTCAGGGTTACAGAGTTCTGGTGACTCCTCTTCTCCTTGTCCTCTTTGCCTTGGTCTTAGTCTTAGCACTACTCTGTTGCCTGGGTACTTAGGATCAAAGTCATTCTGAGTAACAGAAAAGAGGAGCCAGCAACTGCTCCACGTATCTTCTTGGAAACCATAGATCCCATTCCACAGGTCCCCGGGGAGTGTGGCCAAGCATGACAATTACAGGTTTCCAGGAGCCTCCTACAAGCAGGGATTATTAGGTCATCTCTTCCTGTGATTCAGGTCATTGGTTATGGGTTATGGCACTGAAATTTCACAGGATCATTTAAATCTGCATGCTGCTATTCACAGCTGCTGGTAGCTGTCAGTCATGACTGAGTCCTGGTGGACCTAGTAAAGTACAAATCTTTCCAGATGATGTTTCAGTTAACGCACATGGAAGTCCTGGGATTTGACTTTAATGACCGTTATCCCTAACTTACAGATGAAGAAATGCCTCTAGTGAGAGCTTAGGGACCCTGTCTTTGGTTATTGCACAGGTGAGTTGTAGGAATAAGACCCTACCGTGGTTCCAGTCCCTGTCTATAACACGCCTTGGAGTCCCCTCAGCGTGGAGAAGGAATTCCACAGCACTAGTGTCTTATTCTTGTCATTTGTTTTTGTAGTGACTTTGATGAGCAGGTGCTGCTCGTTTCAGTGGCGGAATGTTTAAGCCACACAGTTCCCATCTTCATGATGGATTGTAAGGGCTATCTGTGAGTGTGTATGAACTGCCATCTCCACGTTTGCCTTAAGTAAGAAACAAAATAGAACGTCTTTTTTTTTTTTTTTTTTTGCTTCCCTTCCTCTTGAACATATGATTGCGCTTGTATTGGAAGAGTTGGTAGGACAGATGGCATCTTAAAATAGTTTTAGCAAACATGTTCAGTGAGTTAAAATCATAGAAGTCCTCATGCCAAGAAGATTTTCCAGGGGCACGATGAAAACGACATCTTCACATTGAGACTTAGGTACTTAGCTCTCAAACTAAACCGATAGCTATTTCGCTGTTAGCCTTCCCTCTTCTGACTTCTTTATGGGTAGATTGCTTCTGAAACTGAACTTCTTATGTTCCCCATTAGCCTTGCTGTTTCTCCTCCTAAAGACCATATCTGAAATCTCTTATTCAAATGGCAACCCATCATTTCTAGTTAGAACAGAGTTTTTAAGATCCAATAATTTGGAGACTGTTCAAATCAGCACAAACTTTGAATATTTGATATTCGAGACAATGGCAGTGTGGCTTTTTTTTTTTTAATATGGAAGTGTTTTTAAACTGAAGTAATATACAGTTGTAATTATATCTTGCTTTAATGGATCACAAAGCACGTTTCATAAATAAATCATCAGAGCTCTGTCCAGATGTTAAACAGATGATGGTGTTTTGCTTATGTTTTCTCTTAGGTATAGAGGCTTTAGGAATGGCTATTCATTTTCTAATCTTGGAGGCAGCATTCAGCTTTGGTCTTACTGAGTCAGAATACACTTGAGAGGGCTTTCCCTGAGTATTTTTTATTTAGCAATGTCTGGCTTCCTGTTAAAAATGAGTAGTGACTTTTCCTTTGGACCAACAATCAAAAGGGTTCCAGTGTCCCTTACAGGCAAAATCATCCAGTTTAAGAACCCTGTTCTATAGGTTTTAACAAGATGAGAAAGCCCAACTAAATGAAAATATCAGCTCTGCTGCTAGCCACCTAAAGTGGGTGGTTCTTTATTATTTTCTCCCAGATGCTTCAGCTCACCTCTCATTTTTCCAGATCTTTCACAACCACTGTGTACAAAATTGTGACTAGCCTTGAATTCCCCATTCAACTGTATTTGTCTACTGCCAGAGTTTCTATTCCTGTGCAAAACATCATGACCGAGAAGCAAGTTGGGGAGGAAAGGGTTTACTCAGCTTACACTTCCACATTGCTGTTCATCACCAAAGGAAGTCAGGGCAGGAATTCACACAGGGCAGGAACTTGAAGGCAGGAGCTGGTGTAGAGGCCATGGAGGGGTGCTGCTTACTGGATTGCCTCACCTAGCTTGCTCAGCTTGCTTTCTTATAGAACCTAGGACCACCAGCCCA